CCTGCCTGTACAGCTCCAGTCTGCATCCTTGTCTGCACACGAACGCTGCACTATTTGATCTGTCTGAATTTATATCAACCCTGTTACACCGAGGCAGTTTTATCCATTTAAAGATCTCTAATACAGAAAATAATATATTCCAGTGTAAAGCGCCTTGTGTTGTGTCAGCATGAGTTTGTCTTCCTTAAGTTGTATACAGTGGTGAAAATCACGCTATGATTTTAGAGCTATGCAAGCTCTAAATTGGCATGTGAACCAGGCTTTTGTTTTGTGGCAGATTTGGAAGGGACGTTTCCAAAGAGGCTCTTTTTCACTTGATGATATAGTTGAGTCAACTGCTGTGATTCCTTTGATTATTTTTTTTTTTTCCTTCCTTTGTAGTGTTGAAATTGTAAAAAGTGATGTATGTTTTCCCCAACTCTCCACTCTAAATTGCAGGGGAAGGCCATGACAAATCTTGCAGTGCAGTCTGGAGATTTAAATACAAGTTGGTGATTTTTTTTTTTTTTTAAAAAAGTACTTTTCTTTGTTCCACAAGGATTTTTTTTTTTTTTCACAAGGATTTTAAAAAGATGAAGAACACTTTTTCAACTTCTTCCCGTAGACAAGCAAATGTTGTTTCCATGTGTGTGTTTCAGAAGCAAGTATTTCCATTCTGTGGTGACAGTGGGTAGGGAGTGACAGATAGCGGAAGTCAAGGAAGGAGGTGGTGTGGCACTATCACACCTTCAGTGTTTCAGATTCTCCTCTATCCAAGGATTTCTGAATTTTTGAGTAATAAAGGTACTTTTTTTTAGTGGTGGTGCATTTTGTTTTGGTTTTGGCTTTTTTTTTCAACTTGGCTAATGCAGGAGACTGACATATTTTAACTTGAGTCTAAACGCTGCTCGTGAGCCAGGCTTGGTGGCAGGCAAGGGCTGTCAGGATTCACAAGCTCACAGTGGCTTTTTTTTCTTTCATGACTGGCTGTTATGCCAGTAAGTTCTTCCTTGTGTTTCTGTCACAAACAATGGAATTGTATAACAGCCAAAATAAGGGCTGGTTTGCTGTACCTGAAGAATAGCTTTAGTGAAAAAAGTGAAGATTTCTAAAAACTCTTTTTAGATTAAACACACAAAGGATGTTTTTCCAGGAAGACAATTCTAAGCAGTGATTGAAAAAATATTTTTAAGGCATGGAATCAGCATAGCATACATATAATAGATTTGGGCATTATTGTATTCTCCGAGTGGTATGTCTGAGGTATTTCACAATTTTTAGTGTTGTGAAATTTTTGCTTTGTATCTTATTTCCAGAGGAAAAATATTTAAAAATCATCTTACCATCCAGAGCGTTCCTTGTCTGTTGAATAAGGATTTTGTGTTGCAGGGATAACAGTGGTGCATTTATCATTAGTTTAAAAAAACCAACAAAGCAAAACAAACAAACAACAAAAAACCAAAACCACACCCCCCATGCTGAATTAATCCAGTTTACAGTCTGTAGAAGATGGTGCATGTGAAATACGCTTTATAACTGTTTTTTTGCAATGATGTAGGTACTGTTGGTACCTACAGATTTCTAGATTAAATATTTCTGTTTTACAGACTAGATTTAACAAACCCTTCTATTTCTTTTGTAAAGCTAGTTTATGATGTTACTTTGTCATTATCATGTATCTTTAATTAGAGCAAAATGTTTAGGATAAGAGCAAGTTACCTAAAAGTGGAAGCTGTGAAAAGATGATGTATAGGAGCTATTTAGTGCAGTTTATATAGGCTGAGAAAAGAACACTGTTTCTTTGAAAAGCTCTTAGGAAGATCTCCAGACCCTTTGGTTAGTGGTTCTGGAATAAGCACGAAATGCTGACAACGGAAAGCAAAACCATAATTGTGCTTATGTGACAGTGCCAAGTAATTTGAACATTTAAAGTCAGTCAGGCGCAGGCCTCTTCATCCATATTACGTGACTTCTTTAAACATTTAAAGATGATTTCTCTTTTTGAAGCATAAAAATATCTTCAAATTATTCTGATATCTGTTAGGAATAGGAAGTATTAAAAACCTTTCAGATTATTTTGGAAGCAGCAGACAAATTATTCTGAACTTGAAATGGGAAATTTTGCACTATCTTATTAAGAAGGTGGTTTTTCCTTACCACAGAAACCCTTTTGTAAAGTCCTTTTCTGACAGATTTTTCTCATTGTTTTACTTAATTTAGATGTTACCAAGGAATAAAATACTTTTGCAGCTCTTGTTTGTGTTTTATCCACACATCTTTTGGTTGTCTTCTATACATTGAAGAATATATTTTCCTTTTCATACGATAGATATTGGGAATGCTGTGTCCTTTTGGAGGTCCTTTTGTACCTCTTCGCAGTCGGCTTTAGTTTTGAGTGGCTCAGGTAGTTTCATCAACTTCAAATAGCCTTTGGTTTAAAATCCCAAAAGCTCATCCCTTGTCCTTTTCTCTGGAAGATATTGCGCAACACAGGTCTCAGTCCAGGTATTTCCTTTTCCACTTAATTTCTCTCTGCTGTGAAAACTCTCTCCTACCTTCTAATTGCTCTTTTATTCACGAGAAGGTATTTTATGACAGCATGATTTATTTTTTTTTAAGGGATTTTGATTAACAGCCTTCGTAGTACTGTTATTTAATGTCCATTGAGGCAATTTCAAGATGGAGAAAATTCTTGTTAGCTGCATGTTTAGCAGTGCAGCTGCTTTCATACACCCTCCCAGTCCTTAGCATTTCTTGCATCATTTGGAAATCCTGATACCTCGAGTCCTTCACCGCTTACTAGCAGGATGCAAGCTGTAGTGTTCCTACCTGTGCAACGGGTGGAAAGCAAACTCACTTTTTTTTGACTGGGCTTTTGGTCTGTTTTTCCACTTGTTTGCAATGTATACTTTGAATCCTTCCAAAGAAAATACTGGTTTATGTAATGGTTAAATATTCCCTTTTCTTTGAAAAACTCTACACTACCTCTTATTTTTCTTTCTCTGATGTGATTTTTTTTTTTTTTAATTGCTTAGAGAAGATCATGCGTTGTTCTCAGTTAGAACTGTGTGTGCTCTTCACCCTAATGACACTGATCCTCCTTACGTTAGTCCAACTGCATGCTGCTGCTGAGTCTGGTGGGATGAGAGCTTCTGTCCACAGGAGAGCTGGATGAGCAGGAGAGTTCCTGTCATGAATTTATGAGCCATAGACCCTCTCGATTATAGACACGCAGCGAGGACGCAACCGTTGCTTCAGCCAGCGCCAATGGAAACCTTAAATGCAGCTTCCTGGTGCACTGCATACAGCCTTTTTTTGTAATAAGCTTCTGTGCAGCCATTAGTACTTGATGTAGCAAACCAGTGATATTTCTCTGTTTTGCCTTATTTGAATAGGATAAATAAATAGGGAATCCAGGTATAAAGTGCATAATCCTCTGTAGTTAATGGTAGGTTATTTGAGCATATCTCATGTCTGTTTAACTGAAAAAATTACAGAAGATTGTGTTTGGTTCACATGCAGTAATACTTATCATTCATACCACTAGGTATATCTCATAAAACAGTTCCTGTATCAGTAAGTTGGTATTTTTCTCTTAGGTGTATTTTTACTTTCTAACCTTCCTTTATCTCTATTGATATTATGCAGGTACTTGTCAGTGAGGACTCTGATAGCGATGGTATTGTGGCCCACTTCCCTGCACATGAAAAGCCTATTTGCTGCATGGCTTTTAACCCTAGTGGTAAGTTCTTTTACTGTTTTAATGTGGTAGTTGTAAACAAGATGGAGACAGTAAAATATCGTAGGCGTGTGTTCCATTGCATTGGAGGAATTGCACATACCACTGTGATGCGTGCAAGTACCTGCTTACTGCTACTAGGACTTCTGACCTGCTCTGTTGAGTGTTGAAGGTGTCATACACTGGTTAATTTGGCTTTTCTAGAAATTTCAAACTTAAGCAACTGCTATACTATGGTATATGCAAGAAGATTCAGTCTACCGCTTCGAGTGCAGGAGAAGTACTAAGGAATTCTTTCCTGTGGGGTTCCTGCCAGCCAGGTATCCCATTGTTCTGATATGCAGGTATCCAGAGGATCAGCACATGTGTTAAATTGTACTCCTCTGTAAATATGAAAATAAAATGAATTGTTTCACTGGCACTGTTTTTTAAAGTAACTTACACGGCCATTATGTGCTTTGTTCATGAAGAGTTTGTGATTCTACCCTCTGTCCTGAGTGAAATGAACTAACATCTGAAAATACTTTTACAAAACTCCTCAGAAGTTGTGTTCCTCTCCTTCCTCTTTATAAATTAACAATGACTATGAGCAGCAGAGATATCTACAAATCTTGTCTGTTAATCAGTCTTAGCAATTTGACGATTAACACATTTACTACTCTATCTACAGACAGCAAAAAAAAAAAGGTTTTAGTTGATGCATTAGTAGTCAGTGAAATGGCCGTTGAATCAACAGCTCCTACTTGCCTAAATTAATGGTTTCTAAAATGTAGCAAATGCCACGAAGATCTTAAGGATGAAGTCACATTTCAAAGAATAAACCTAAATGTCTGTCACTTATGTTTTCACTTTTACTGACCAGTTGGTCTTATTCTGACATCCCATCTGTTATGTCAGAACTCTTTAATAGTGGTGTGCAGTTCACAGCATTTTCACTGTGAGTTTTTGACAGAAAAAACTGTATTCTCATCTGGCTGAATTTTCTACTGATGCCTAAGAGAATTGTTTGTGGAACTCTATGTATTTAACAGGGAATCAACTATGCCGATTCCAGAATAGTAATATTTTTGCTTTGTATTCTGGTAGAAAGATTAATACCAAGATTCGAGCAATGCTAATTAAGTGAAATGAATATAGGTGCTTAAATTAGCATGCTTTATAGATACTAATTAAATGCCTTAGGTAGCTTTTATGATTGCATAAATTTAAGGGAAACAGAACACTTATGTAAAAGCAAATTAGCATTATTTTTTAAATTGAAGGGTATATTTGCATATTAATGGATTACTTGTATTAGAATCAAGTTCTTCTGGTCTGCTCAGGTACTAAATTACAATCATTTGTATATGATATAGCAGGCTGTTACGTTAGATCTAATGGTGCAATAAGATACTTAATAGGAAAACGCTTTTTCTAATTGGTATTGGTTTTGACTGATTGCAAATTGTGTATGTTACGAGATACCTGCAGGAGGGATGATTCACAGCAAGGTATTGAATCATACTGCATGTTCTGGGTACAGCAACAGCAAAGCAGTTGAAAACTATTACGTCAGCTGCTTAGAGAATGAAAGGAGCCCTTCAAGCAGGATTATGTGTTCTTTATTTAACATCAAGGCAGAATTTTGTTTGAAGGCAGTGTTGTAAGTAACATCATCTTAATCCATTATATAGTGGTATATTGCCAATCAAGCTGATCTTGTTACAAAGCAGAGCAAAACAAGAGGTGGCTTTTGATACTGGCTTTGTTGGCTGGTTGTAGTGAAAAACCACTTTTACTTATCATTTCAACAGTGTCTGTGATGCTGCACTAGAACATAGCGACTACAAACTTTGGCTACAGAGGCAAACAGGGAACACTGATGTGTTTCAGTGAACTATTTTTTTTCTCTATGGCTGATCAAATAGCTTAATTTCATCACGTCTCATCCCAAGGGCCCGTGAGCTTCACAGGTATTCAGGCCTGCAAAAGCTTATGGAATGGTGTTTGGAAGAAAAAAACCCCAAAACTAAACCGAAGCCGCCTCGACACTGGAAATGACTATGTGGTTTTTGTGCAGTAAACCAGTAGAACGGTGCCACAGCCACTTTAAGCTGTATTTTAGAGGTATCAGTTAGCAGTAAGATACAGCTGGGGGTGTGTGGGGTGTGTGTGTGTTCTGCTGTTTATGTTTTCATACTGAACAAGGAGCATGCTAGGGATAAACTGCATGTCATGGGTGTGTGGGGTGTGTGTGTGTTCTGCTGTTTGTTTTCATACTGAACAAGGAGCGTGCTAGGGATAAACTGCATGTCATAAAATAACAGTACAGAATTTACAGGGGTCGTTGTGGGAAGGGGTAATGGTAATATATTGCTTCACTGTAGGATTATCAGAAAACAATCCAACGGGAAGGAAAGAGACTTGCCGATGTCAGTAAATGGCAGTCATATTTTCCCCTAGTTGTTCTTTCTGAAACGAAGAAGAGATCCTTCACTGCATTTGGAGTGTCCAAAACATGTGAAGTTATTACAGGCCTGATTGGAAGTGTGTTGCGAACAACGGCAGGACTCTTGCTGATGGGGAGAGAGTCTTTTTTGTTGTTGTTGGGGGTTTTTTTTGTTGTTGTTGTTTCTTTTGTTTTGCTCTTGAGGCTTTGGGGGTTGTTTTTTCTTCCCAGCAAGGTAAATAATATTCCCAGCTGGGTTAGTTGGCTAGGAGAGCTTGCTGTACACAGCCTTCTACTTCAGCTACACTGCAAGGCAAAATCATGAAAGAACAAGCAGGGGTGTTTCTGCATAGCATTTCATTGTGCTGAGCATTTCTATAGTGACTTTTGCTGGCATTAGATCTGCCTTTTGTTTAAATTCAAGGCAAATCCATTGAACTTTTTTCTTTCCTATTTTTGAGGTATTTGAAGAAAGAAGAAACTTGGCATATAGTTAGCTTTTTTGTGTTAGATCAATGGCTATTCCGAAAATCTGGTTGAATAATAAACTTGAAATATCATTTCTGAGTATACTTAGGGGGCAGCGTAGTTGTTTGGTTTGGGTTTGGTTTTTTTCTTGGTTTGTTTTATTAATGCTACCTAGTATGTCTGTGTATACCTATTCCAGACTCTTATGTTAATAAAAGCTTGCTTCCGAGTCGGTTGATTTTAGGGAGACTGTAAAAGTCTCAGTCTAAGACACACAGCAAATCATGTTTAACATTAGAAAGAGGGGAAAAAAAAAAAACCCAACAGCCAGCCATAAAGGAGAAAAGCTGCGGTTCCTGGTAGTTTAGGTTTTCTCTGTGTTTTTTCCTGTGTACATCGAATTTTAGTAAACCATCACAACCTTTTTTAAAAGTTTTTTGAAAACTACAGGGAGTGAGTTGCTGGGATTTTTGAAGGGGGGCACGGTGCAGCAGAGGGAAGGGAAGTGTTTGTACTACAGCTGAAAATTTGCGGCCAGGCATCTCCTCCACAAGATCCCTTAGTCCTTTGGAATTTCTAAAAGCCGGGTCCCTGCGTATGTTGTTCTTGCCTCTCTGCTTCACATCTTTCATTGTAGTAGGTAAGATCTGTAGTGGCTCAATAAAAGTGAGAAAGAACTGGTCCTCCTTTGCCACTTGTTGCTGATTAAATCTTTGGGACGCAGGCATGAAGTGCTAACTGTGTCCTTGTTCTAGTGGTAAAAACAAAAGCTATGATGTGAGCCTGCTTAATCCATTCTCTTTGCTAGTTGTGTTGGCAGCTTTGGTGACAGAGTTTGTTCTGGCCTGTGGGCACGCTTCTTAGATGACATTCTTGTTCTGATTTTGGAAGTGTGCTTAATAAATCTGATTCCAGGTTTCAAGTTCAGGTGACTTGGCACTGTTACTTTTTTCTTTTTTAATTGCTAGAATATGAGAATTTCATGTATTGTTTTCTTCCATAGGAAACTGGCACAGTTTTTCCATATACTTTATTATATGTCAAAATCATGATTTATTTATATAATGCCATATATGCCAGTGGCTGCTTTTGGGACTCACATGAAGATAAGGTCCCTCTTCTGAAGCACTCATAATTCAATTTTTTTTTTTTAAGACACCTATCCGGTATTGAATTAAACGTTACAGTAGTAATTTAGTATTGCCAAGTGCCATGGAAGAGATGGTGTGTATGAACAGGAAAAAGGGATCTGATTTTGCGGTATATTTGCTTAATAAGTAATGCATACACATGGTATGTATTTATTTTTTACCACAGCCCCATCCCATGCAGTGATGCTTGCACCACAGTGTGTGGCAAGGGTACTTGCATGTAAGAGGAAGGAGCTGTGGGGCCCTGGGGCAGGTGATGACCAGAAATGGGCTCCTGTCAGCAGCATAATTCATGCAGCTTGGAAATGGCCAACAAGCCGGATGAATTTTGCAGGGAGCTGTGGCTGATAGACTGTAGGCTGGGCGCTGCAGGCACGCAGGGTCTTTTGAATGGCAGTCACTGGATGTCTTCTGATTATAGCACTGTTTTGCAGTTGATCAGGAGGATAATAGTATTCCTTCAAGCTAATCGAGAAGGTCCCACGTCCAAGAAGAAAGCCCCAACTCTTAGGCACACAGAAAGCATTGCGAGGGAAGCGAGCTGCGCTCTGGGAATATTTGGTGCGTATTTGAGCGCCCATCTGATCGTCTGTGCAAAGCAGCTGCTGCAGCCAGGGTTAAGAGCACCATGGCCACTCTTTTCATTTCTCAACAAAGGCAGGCAGCTTCTAACTTTTAGGAAGACTTTAAGCCTTTTATTAAAACTTTGTAAGATGAGAATAAATAATACAAGGAAGTGAAGTAATATTAATAGACTGGGGGACTTTATTAATGTACCTCTGGCATGTATATTGATGTAGTGGAAACAAGAGGCTTATACTTAGAGAGGCTAAGAACAGTTACTTTAATTCACTTGTTAAATGAAAATCACATTAAGCTTTTGTGTGGATGCTTCTGCTTAGCGTTAACATTGGCTTGATTTATTTTAGCTTGAATATTCAGTTTTGGATGAATTG